TTAAATACAATTATGTACAGAGGACTCCACAGTTACCATTAGCAACATGTTATATTAAATAATGGTCATAGAATAGCTCCATGGCTCTTAAATTGCTTCCTGTCATCATGAGGTTGTCATCTGCTTTGGCCACTAGATTCATCATACAAATGAGATCAAATCTATTTCATTTTTTTGGTTTATTCTCACATATTTACTTTTTCTGTTGGTGGCTGTGATGGATTGCTCAATTAAAAAATCAGTTTTGCAGCAATAAGGAAGAGTGGAGAGACTTGAAACTGTTTTTTTTGTTTGTTTTTTTGAGGCATATTATGAGTAAGGGCGTCACATTAATGTCTCCGACTATAAATGACATTCATATATCAGAATGTGGTGCATCCGTGAGTATTAGCACTTTAGCACTTTAGCTCTAAAGTAATTCAAAATAGGTTGATAACTCTTCAAAAAAGTTGTCTCTTGATTAAACTCAACTATAATGAGGGGTGAGCCTAACTGTCTCCACACAAGTAAAATCATTTGCGCCCCTACAACTCTGGCGGCGCGAATGATGCGAATTGGGTGGGAGCTGAAAAATGTCTCAACTTGAGCGGATATTCGCGGCGCGATAACTAATCAACACAAAGGTTGTTGAGTGACATATGAAAACCAACAGTTGTTCACTGGTATCTAAAATGGAGGACAAACTGATCATGTCGGTGTGTGGGTGCCCCGAATTAAGCGATACCTTTTCTTTCAATTACCGAAACAGAAGTAAAGAGGAGCTTGTCTGAAGGCAAGTGAGTGAGGAGGTCAGATTACCTGGTAAATTTGTCTATCACTTGATCCAGCAGTTGAATTGGCAGGTATTATGATTAAAATCACCATTGACGCGCAAACAAAGCGAGTAAATATTATTCATTCACGCATCTATATTTGCACGTATTAAGCAAGTAGATAAATTTACTTGCGCTTGGTGTGAGCGCCCCATTTGCGGAGGGTAAATTAAGCCACAAGGGGATAAATTGTTCCAGCTACTTCATAAAGTTTTCTTTACCAAGATCCATTTCCAAACCAGAGTCAAATCAAACTCAAACAACAAAAGTGGCACAAAGAAAGAAGACATGATCGTGTCTACCTACCCCTGCCACAGGCTGCCATACTGACTGTCTACATTCAGCTGTTTTTAAATAGAAAGGGGGGTAAACACAGCCCTTCCTGAGAAATTTTACAAATGCGTGTCATTCAGCGGATTAAAGCTGGCATCATACTAACAGTATAGTCTTGATTTGTAATTTACGAAAGCACAAACACGATTAAAACTTTTAATTTACTGTTCAGGTCCAAAAGCTGATTCTTTCAATGTGAAACTATCACTTTTTAGACTCACATGATTCTACGAAAGAGGATTGGGGCCACAAGAAAGGAGAAAAATAATTACAGGAAGGAGATTAAAGTTGAAATTTCAAGATTAAAGTAAAAATTTTGAGATTAAAAACTGAAATTATGTCAATAAATCCAAATTTCGAGATTAAAAATTGAAATTGAGATAAGAGTCGAAATTTCAAGATGACAAAATGTCGAAATATCGTGAGATTAGAAAAATTAAAAATCTGAGATTAAAGTTGAACTTTTGAGATTAAAATTGACATGAAGTCGAAATTTTGACCTTTTTTAAAATTTTGACCTTAATTTAAATTTCGACTTTAATCTTGACATGGAAATAAAAAAAAATATATCCCTCCTGTAATTATTTTTTCTCTTCTTGTGGCCTTTATTCGCTTTCATATGATTCAGTGCCTCTCTTACACAGGGTGAGTGAATTATAAAGCACTTTGAACATTCATGATCACATGACCAACTTGGTCTATGGTTGCCCAGAAACAAGGGGTGGTTTTACTTCACAGCAGACGCATTTCATACTGATTTCCAATACACATGAATAGACTTGAAATCTTTTTTCATACATTTGTGATGTGTTAAAAATCTTGTGACTGAAACACAGGACAACATGTACAATGTGATCTCAGCCCTACCACAGCAAAACATAACATAGTAGTGGTTTAATTTGTAAATCACTGCAGGGAACTCATACATGAATGCGTTTAGCGATGGCATTCATGGTCCAGGTAGAGGCAGGTGGAAACCGTGACCTCACATGCAAAAGGTCAATATGCAACTTTAAAACATCACGTTGAGATGTACAACCTCTATAAATACTGTACGACCAGACTGCGGGTCGATATTCTCTAAACACTGAGAAATATCTGCTCTCGGGTCTGCTGGGGAAGTAAAACTGTTGACTCTCTTTTCACTCTGTTTCCCCTCTGCACTCAGTAAAGTGTGAGTTTGGTGTTAATTGTTACATGCTTGTTTAACCAGCACAATGTGATAATTAGATTCCATGCTGATGATTAATTGTTGTTGAGCCGAAAAGAGTAATGTAAGTTATAAATAATTTAAGTTTTCATCACACAGGATCTAACTAAAGACATAACTTTAGCAATTTTGTGTAATGTGCTAATAAAAATAAATGATGGATGTAGACGGTGGCAGTTAATATGAAGTAATGCTGCTTGGCGAGTGATTCTGCCTTCTGTCTTTATCATGCTGGCATCAGACATTAGACTCCTCAAAATAACCACAAAATTTAACAGGCGTGGGACTTTAATACCAGGGAAATAAAAAACAATGGTGACGGTGAAAACTGCCAAAGCTGCCTCTTTTTCCGCTTTCTATGAAATCATGTCTGTTTTCCTCAAATTACCATCACCTTTCTGCATCATTTTTCCACGCCGTCTTGATGAGTCTGTCTACTTCAGTCTCATTGCCTCATGCTCCCCCATCACGACACTACCGGGCCAAGCTTTAGGGTGTCCTTTTCGTCATTGCCCGTGATGACCTCCACGTCCTTCCCCTGGCATCGGGTCAATTATTCACTGCGCAGGAACTACACCTGTGTCCCTCGTGAATCTCCCCCGACAACCAGCCGCCAGAAAAAATGAGTCTATTACCATGGTGGTGCCAGGTGATGGATTTCATGTTCACCGGTGGAGTGCAGGTAAAAAGACCAGGGAAAGCCGCTGAAGGTGACCTCTACTGCGAAGGCATCTTTACCGGTGGTGCGTGCAAATATACACGCTCCCATGAGGAAGTATCAAAGGAGCAAGAGTGGAGCACTGGTTTCCGTGTCAGACTTGTTTGTTTGTTGTGGGTTATTGTTGAGTATGCTGTAAACCTGAGCGACCTTGAGCTGTGAATTCCTCTATAAGACATTCCCTGGTGGATTTTTAATACCTGTGGTATATCTATGAGGGCAGTAAAAACAAAGTTCACAGGCTTTTTTTGTAGGCAGAGTTAAACTGTGACATAAGGTTGGGCAACACGGTGTAAAATTTGATCTTGTATTGCTTTCCTTTTTGAGTAACAGAGTATTTTCACTATGATAATCTTATTGAGGTTGTTTGAGGAATGGGCTGAGAGTGAAGGAAGATCCCTTTAATAAACTCAGACTTTTATTCAATTCATTCATTCATTCAACATGCATTTCGTTTGATCCCTAAGGTCTGAATTCTGAGATCCCGGCTGGATGCATCACCCAGGATGCCCCCTGAAGTCAGGACTCAGTCAGTACGTTTACATGACACTCGAGAAAACTGAATTATTGTCTTACTCAGATTAAGACCAGACAACTGAAGTGCATGTAAACACTGTAGTCCGACTATAATCAGAGTTTGAGAACTCCGATTGGAGTCGGAGAACTCCAATTAAGACATGCAGATAATACGATCGGAATTTGATTTTCTCTACCATGTAACTGGCGTAGTCGGAGTATGATCGGACAATTCATGTGCGCCTGCACCATGCCACGCCCCCGTAACTCCGGAACAAGAACACCAGAGAAGAGGAGGAGCGTGCATCTCATCTGCAGAAAAAGTAGTGTGTACATCATGTACAACAAGAACAACGCCGTACGATGCTCCATCTTTTTGCTTGAAAATGCCCAGCAACAGTTGTAGCCACGTCTGACATCTGGCACGGACCTGCTGTTGTTCTTGACCGTTGTATGGAGTCAGAAACAGCGCCGCTAAAAAGACCCATATTCCCCTTTAGTTTTGGGGAGGAGGACACATTCACGTCAATAATTCAATTTTCTCCGCTGCATGTATACGCGGACAAGAAGAGAAGTCAGATTTGGAAAAATAAAATGAATAATGAGCTCAGTCCGAATAAGATGTGCGTGTAAACACACTGACTGACGGTCAAAGGAAAGGAGACTTCCACCATTGTTTAAGGATTTTTAAAATGAGCTAAAGTATCCGCAGAGGTGACCTCGATAAACCAAATGCAGCTGGAACTCTATTATAAAACAGGTAAAAGCTAATTAAGCATTTAAGGGTCAAAATTTAACATTTGTAAGTTCCTATTTTCCCTTAAATGCCTACAGTATAATTAAGAAATGTATCATAAATGACAAGGAGTCATGATTAAAGGCTATGGTAACTAAGTAAGGATATAATTTTTCACTATTACTTTTGCTTGCAGTGCAGAATCAGCACCTTTCACAACACATTCCCAGCACCCACTAGTGAGGTGGCATCTGCAGCGCTCAAGGCAGGATGGCAGCCATGCAGGACAGCACCAAACCAAGCTGTTAGGCCTGCTGTCCGCTAATCCATTCCAGTGTGGCAGCATAGTCGCTGAACCCCATGCTAGCAGCACCTCAGGTCAACAGATATGGTCAATACATGTTGTCAGAACATGTGGTACAGACAACAGTGCTTTTGGACCATGACTAACGGACTGTGTGATCAGCTGTTTGGTGTGTGTGTGTGTGTCTTTTTTGTCCTGTTTCCTGCTTCTCTGTGGCTATATGTCCCTGCACGTGTGTAGTTAAGGGGGTATATCCTTTGTCTTTGTGCACACGCTCATGTGTCCCTGGTTGCCAGCAGACTTGGCTCGCGAGCACAGGAGACAGGTGAGACATGGAGCGGGGAACAGGCAGGTTTTTGGAGCAGACTCACCTCTTTGTAACTTTGGACCGTTGATGTGTCTGTCTTAATCCCAGCGTGTGTCAGCTGCCCTCAGCATGCAGAGGCACTGGAGTGTACAGCTCCAGTCTGCCGCTCCTCAGCCCTCGCCTGTTTCCCGGTCACTCCCGGGCCCGCCAACCAGGCTAGACATGGCACAAGACAGAGAATGAGCACCACACGAGTCAGGCTTGGTCACCCGCATATTGTTTTTGTTCAAAAACTAAACCTGTTCATATTTGTACTCAAAAATTATCCTATTATCAGTCAATGATTTCACTTTTATGGTGTATTTTTAAAGGTATAACTTGAAAACAAAATTGTTGAGTGCTGAATTTAACGGTGTTGGATTATTGTACAAATTTTCCATAAAGTGGTCAGTTTGCAATGAAAGCAAGAAGTTATAAACTACATATACTTGGGGTTAAGAAACACAACTGTGAAACATTTATAGTATGCTTTGAGTTTTATGGGAGCTTTTACAGCCCATCTGCCATTGGCGTAGTTTTAAGTGCTTAAATTTACTGATATGCATGAAACTTCTGCTTCAATATTATTAATTGTTCAGTTATTCATTTGAATTATTCGGCCCACTTTTGTGTATAATTGCCATGACGATCAGTTGTTTTAAAAAATATGCATTAATAATCATATAATCTAATCACAAGGCCAGCTGACAAAAAAAACAGTATTTGTTGTGTGCACGCTGATGAATGCTCTACATATGAAAGCCTCTTTATCCTCTAATCTTGTCATCGCTAATGATGTCTAATTTGAACATGTGACATATGACTGATATTCATGTCTGTTAATGAAACAACGAGCATACGCAATTTCTCCTCTGCGTTTATCATTAATCACAAAGACCAAGGTTATGTGGTTTTATTCTGACACACTAAGAGGCCAAGAAAGAGTACAAAGGGTAGAATAACACTGGTGATAATCCAATGAGAGAACTACGTGTAAGTTTAAAGATCTAATTGTTAAAGTGTGAGTCAGTTTTGTCGTTTTTTTACATGGAGATATTGCAGTGTTAAGTCTTTCATCTTGCCCTACCATCAGGAGGAAGGGATAGTGGGGCAGAAATTGAAGGCGTTCTTGACAGAAATGGATTAAATAGCTCCCCCTGAAGGCACAAAGATGAAATATGAGCCCAAATCAGGAAGACAAAGCGTGTCTCCACACAAAGTCAGATCACAGCACACATTCTCAATGAGTATTATAAGCTCAACCAGCTGTATGCTCATTTATCTGGTGCCAAAACAACCCCTACTGGTAACTGGAATCATGTTTTTTCATTTTATTTTGATGAACTACAACAAAAAAAAATATTGTTTTCATCATTCCGTATTGGTTTTCCTTTTATTTATATTGGGATCACAGATTAGGCTCTTAAACCTGATCCCCAGAGTCCTGCTAATGAACTTATGTGTTCCGACATTTAAACAGGCAGGCCTGGACAGCCCCTCATAACTCAGAAAGGTTATCCTCTGGCAGCAGATATAGATAAATGTCAGGGATGTTGCTGAGGCTTTACTGAAACAGAGCAGATATGATGCACAGTGCTGATATTTACACAGCAGGGGCAAGTATGGAGGATGATGGGGGAAGCATGGCCTGCTGTCAAAAAATGGGTTTTATTGAATTCTTAATCTAGCAATGAATTTTGAAACGGAAAGCCTCCGTAAGACTTATCATAAAGGGTGTAATGGTGGTGTGTGTATGACACATTATATGAAATGTGCTTTAAGTCTGTTTTCACTGAAGCTGTTACAATACCGTCACCATCTTGAGTGATGCATTGAGCTTAGCGTGACAGTTTAAGTGTGGTTCTTGTCCAGTGATGATTTTGTTAACAAAACAGAAACTTAACGATTACTTCAAATGTCAGAGTTTTACTAGAGCCCTTCTCACACCTGATACAGTATAGGTACAGAGGATTGATAATGATTAAAAGTTAGTCTGCATTTGTTTTCATATTCTTATCTAGTGACTGCCTTTTCTGCCAGAAAAAAAACTATATTATAACCCACAAATTTTTATCAATCAACAAAGGACTCCACTAAAGTTGTTCTGATGCCAAAACTGCCTGAAATGCTGTATTGAGTATAAGCAGCGGTGAAAGTAAGCCAATACGCACCGGTACACCGAAGACATACACAGCAGTTTACAGCAGTTTACAGCAGTTTACAGCAGGTACGCAGCGGTACGCAAACTCAAATCAGTCTGCACTCTGCATTGTAACTGTAGTAATCTGATAGGACCATGCTGCTTGAGAGTGAGTCCTATTTGCTTCCGCTAAACAAACAAACAAACTCCAGAAATGGAAGTTCTCAGTGTGCACTTATGATTGGATGCTGGTTGCCTAAGCGCTGGGGCCCGCCTCCTGCCTTTTGCGGAAGCAGAGAACTTTTAAAGAGACAGCTGCTTCAATCTTAACGCAGAAATAAAACAAAAATAAAACAAATGCAGAGGAAAATTGAGTTGATAACTGACATTCAGACAAACATTTTTTTGTATTTAAAGTTTTGTCAGATGGTATGTATGAATATGAAAATATGTAAAGGCAATATTTGAATTATTAAATATTCACGATGCATAAATTGTACCAATTGACTCCAAATGGTCTAAAATTTGCTCCTAAAAAGATCCTTGACAATGATTTTAACCCTAAACCTGCAACCTTAACCCCCTAACCCCAAAACCCTGTTACCCCATTGTTCAGTTTTGGGTTCTGGAAATGTATGTAAATTAGTGCATATTTAATATGATATTGCCTCATTTACATATTCATACATATCATCTGACCAAACTTGTAATACATCAAATATTTGTCTTAATGTAAATTATAAACTAGGAAAGTTTCATGGTGATATCTGTTAGTTAAAAATTCTACCCTATTCACCTGGGGTGTCTCCCCGGGCTTCTTACCTATCATGAACACCATCTTGAAAATGACACCTTTCTAGTGGTCAAACTTTGGTAAACTTTTAGTATGTTATTAAGGATATCTAATGCTTTAAAAGACAGCTGAGAAATCTTTTGTTAGAATTTTTTAGGGTTGGGAGTTTTGTTTTTTTTTCATATATGCACCCGCCTAGAAAGAGAGATGCAGCAGATGATGATACTGTGGCATCAGAGTCAGCACCTTGTTAAATTTGGGTGTGCTCCTCTTGTTCAAAGCCTGCAGCTATAGTAACTGCAATAACCTTATCCTACTTTCACCCCTGGGTATAAGGTATGGGATAATGCAAAAATACCATTAGTGACCCCTCCAAAAATCTATTGGATTCAGCGAACTAAGAAATATTTACAATGTGGTGCATGCAGACTGTATAATACTGGCCAAAGCTTGCAAACTTTAACCAAACAGTATTTTGAAATCACTGCAAAGCACTTTAAAATGAATCCACCGATTTGTTATTGTTGTAATTTAACATCTGTAGTTATTAACTTAACTTTTTATTGCTCCTGTTTAAACTGATTTTGTTTTGACCTTCGAGTTGTATGGCTATTTTTAACTGGTCATCTTTCTTTTTGTGTTAATTTTGATGTTTTTGGTGCTTTTGCCTTTATTGACAGGACAGCTTGAGAGGGAGAATATAGGGAGACACACACACCAAATCACACAGGGATCAGGACTCAATCCTTCAAAGCAGTGTGACAAAGGCTGCAGCCTCTCCACACAGGGATGTGCGCCCAAACTCGCAGCATTGTGTAAATAATTCTGTGGAGCTAAATTGTTTCCCTGTATTGGCAAACACTTAAGTCTAATCACACTCGTAGCAGCAGGGGAAAACTATATTGTGAAGCCTCCAATTTCTATTGTAACTTTTCAATCAATATTTATTTGGATTTTCTACAAACCTTGATTGTAGACACTGAAATAAATTACATATTAAAATTTTCCCTTTATTGCTGTATGTAATTCACTCATCTTTCATGCTTTGTTGCACTTTTCCCCCTCTACCCAACTGGTGCTGACAAGGGCTGCCGACCAAAACTCACCTCCGTCTGCTGTCATTAATCCAGGGAGGACCTGAGGCATGTCTCTGCGAGAGGTTACCCCCAGAACTCAAATGAGGGATGGGAGGAGAAGGAGAGGAAAGAGGGAGGGGAGAACAGAAGAAGGCCAATTTGTGTGCTAGCTCCAGCAGCAGGGCAGGCAGGCACTTAATTCTGTGGAAGCGCATCATTATATGGACCATTTACCAGATGCCCATTTAACATGCAATAATTAGATCACTCAGTTTGGAGGGGGGAGGGAGGGAAAGGAGCAGAGATGTGGGCTTTTTGAACAGTGTCCCTTGCCATAACATTAGCAGCCCCCCACAGGGTCACTTGTCAAAACAGTTTGAGAGATTAATTTTGCAGTGTGGAGGAGAAAAATGTATAGCCAGGCGTTATTTTTGCTCTCTCCTTTGTTCTTTGTTTACGCTTTTCTTCCTGTATCAAACTTACATAAAGAAATCTCACAGTTAGAGAGCGGCATTCAAGTATAAAGTGAATACAAAGTAAAACCCCTGGGAGCACACTAAATATCTTTTGTTTATGACTGAAAAATGATAAATAGTGAGGACTGCAGTGCCTTATTTTATTACAACCATCAAAGAGACGGAAATGTGCTAATTTTTCTCTCTGTGACTCATCTGAAAATGATTTCTGAAAGAGTGTTTGTGTTTTTTTCATCAATCTTTCTGAGTCAAATAAATCCCATAAGGGGATTTCTGAACATTTCCTCAGCACAGCAGCATCTCTAAACTCTTTGTCTTTTATTTTGATACAGATCATCAAATATTTCCTCTTCTCTAAACCCTTCACAGCTCAAACCTTTCCTTTAATAAATTACTTCCCTACATGAGCAGAGTGCAACTTTTCACTGTGCAAACCACACATAATCCCCTTCTTTTGAACTCTATTTGCTTTGTGTTAATAATGCATCCATTTCAGTTGCTAAACTGTTTCATTTCTCTCCTCAGCCCATTCTCTATGTCTCTCTAAGCACATAATAAACCTCAAAGAGAGTCTTCAGCAGGTACTCTTAGCCGCTCTTGTGCGATGGGCCAAAACCTGTGCGCTCTGTCAGTCCTGAGAAGTAGACGTCCAATCCTCTGCCTTTACTGTTTCGGTTATGGACATATTAATGGAGTAATTTATGGAAGATATAAAGTGAAACAGGTTATCATCAGCTTTCAGCCTCTTTATTGTTACTCTGTGTGAGTGTGTGTGTGCAGCAATATGCTTCTTTCTGCTCAGGGCAGCTGTGGAGCTGTGTTATATCCCTGGGGCAGTGCAGACTCAGTGGTACCTGAGGAGTTAAATGGCCTGAGGAGGACACGGTCCACCATACCTGCACTCTGAAAAGCTCTGGAGAACAGACTAATACAATGGAAGAGGGAAGGAAAGCAGAGGGTGTGTTGCATTTATGGCCTGGAAATGTTTGTAGTAAGTCATCACGCTGGTATCCATGGCGTACAGCAGTATATAAAGTATATGATGTCGCTGGGATTCAAATGAGGCAGACATGCATCAAAAAGCTTTCAGATGAACAAAATGAGATGCTGAAAAAACATCAGCCGAGTTTCTCCTTATTCCTGCTTATTACTGCCTCTCCATCCTTTTTTATATAATGTTAAGTGAGCATGTTGTTATAGCAGAAGAGATCCCTGAATCCCAGAATTGAGCAGAACACAAATTTTGTCCTAAAGTTACTCGATAAACAATACTTCATCAATTACCCCAAAAAAACTTTCCAGATTATGTAAGAGATTTATATCACAGCCTCCCACACAAGCATCCAAAGTGCACAGAAACATGATACTGCTGTCAGGATCCATAAAGCAGAGAGGAAATTCATATACCCACTGAAATCCATGAATCTCAGAAATTTGGAACCAGTTCTTGCTACCCAAACCTATAAACTTCTCGCTAACAGCTACAGATTTCTACGCTGTATGTCAAGTCAGCCGTGCCTTTATTTATGCAAAACTTGAAAACGTGGAATAGAAATTGAGCCTCTTACATGAAATCCTTATTTTTGTGGTACAGATTGGCTTTTTTAAATTGATGTCTATGTTGCTTTTTGTGCTTTTGGAGACGGCATTTTTTAGCACTTCCACATGGGTTATGTCCACCCTGAAGGGATTCTGAGACCCGTTATTTATAGCAGTGGTGTTCAAAGGCGTCAATTAACCAATCAGAATCGAGTTTTGACACAGACGCGCAGTAGCTTCTTCATGATAATTTACTCTGTACCCTAGGACACACACAATTTGATAATTATTCAAATATTATTTAACGATTGCTTGTCAGAGGATATTTATAGAATTATATTAGGTTAAATTAACATAAAACCCGGGGGTGTCAAGTTATGACAGCACTAAGGTCCAATCAAAAGTGTACCTGGCAGTCCATCATCCCGTCTTCATAAGAAATTAAAGATGTTTTGTAAGTAAGGCAGTCATTGTCATCTGAACTGTCAGTGTCAGCCAGAGATGATATACTCATTTAATAATAGAAAGAGCTTTTATATGACTGTGTCCCTGGAATTGGCAGACTTTGATTGGCCAGCACAACCGTTTCTCTTTGCAGATAAAATTAAACTACCTTTCACATAATTTATAGATGCAATTTTGCAGGACAGTCCCATGCTCATATTTGATATGACAGTTTTTGAAGGTGTGTGTGTGTCTGCATACAAGCATCCATGGAATAAATACAGAGATTGTGCTTTCAGTGACTTGAAATTTGCATGAATTTTAGGAGTCTATTTCAAACTGAGGTAGCTGAACCTTGTATCACCTTTCCAGACG